TGAAAATATATTCCATGTATGCATCTTGTTTATAGAGTTTAATGTATTTAGAGACTGAGAAATGCAAAGTTCTGGGTCCAAGATAAAGTGGACAAATTAATCGCTAAAAATTTACAAAAATTGACTTCATAATTTTTAAGTGTTGTTTTTGTTAAATTCACTAGTTTTTTTTTTCTTTTAACTTTTTAGAAAAAAATATTCATGTAATATTTTATTCATATACAATTTTAACTCCATATATGTTAAAAGTAGTCGATCCCAAATTCGAAAAAAGGAGTTTCAATTTTTGATTCTCAATCTTTGAGGCACATGATCGAGCCGTGCTTGTGTGTCTAAGGATCGAGTTTGGTCAAATCGACCCATTGCCCGGCTACAAAAAGCCTCAAGAGTTTTGGGAATTGAAATGAGAGTGTGTTGATATAACATTATTATGGGAATCGAGGAGCTTTACAATTTTTAGAATTGAAGTTGAGGTCGGTTGACATGGCAATGATGTGGTGATTACATGGCAAGTAGTTCGACATAGTGACACTAGCAATATGGCAACAGTGGTGACCGTGTGTGACTAAACGTAAACACTAATATGATGTGGTGATTGGATTCGATCGTTCTTACTTGACATATATACTTTAAAAAATAGTAAATCGCTTGGAAATGTGTGATCTTGAGAGTGTCAAGATTTGAATAGCCAAGATAAAATTAGCTTTCGGTTGGTCTATTTTTTTAAAAATTAATTATGTTTTTTCGAAATTATTTTTAACTATACATTTTTTCAATAAAATATTTTTACACGTAGACGCATATCATATTTCAACGTTTTTACCAAACAGCTGTACTTTATAATTGCTAAAAGACATTTGTATTATTGTTGGCATTCGGGAGCGAAAACTGAGAGTTTGTTTGGGATAGATTTTTGGGGAAAGAATTGATTTTGATTAGTGATATGATGGGAAATGTGTGATTGAAAATGCAGAAAAATGTATTGATGTGATGGAAAATAATATTTTATTAAAAAATGTGTGGTTGAAAATGAGAATTGATTCACTGTAGAAAAATCTAATCCCTCCCAAACAGGGCGAATTTCAACAGATTAATCAATCTGATGAAGGGTGATTGGAAAAGCCACGTGGGCTTCTACAAACTCACCGCATTCGAGTACCCCAGGGAAAACAGACCCCAATTTAATTTAGGGATAATTGCAGCAAA